GTTTCACACACTTTTGGACTTCCACATCAAGCTCATCCAAAAGTGTGGTACGGATCATGTGATACRTTGGGGGTTTTGGGGTGGGGACTCCTGGAACCCCAGGCGGGATGATCAACGTCAACATGCGTTTGAAGCTCTCAAGCTTCACAGAGTTGAACGGCATGCCGCTCTCGACAATGAATCGCATGATCTGCAGGTGCCATGCGTGCTCCAGCGGGTCGTTGTAATACGAGGTCACCGCCTGCTGCCTGTAAGTGCCCCTCACTCGTGCACCGGCGCCCATCCCTAGCGAATCCCACACCCCGCCCCCGGCTGCAGGTGATGCGGTGGGGCCTGGACTCGGAGCTGCAATGTTGCGCAGATTCTGTAAAGGATCCAGTGTCCCAAAAACACCGTGCTGCGAGGTCGGGCCGTTCACGGGCACAGGAGTGGGTGACGAATCCGAAACCTGGACGGGCTCGTCGAGCGAGACGTTTCCCGCACCCTTTGTGGCCGTTGCAGCGGCCTCGCCAACAGGTGTCGAAGTCAAGTTTGGTGTAGGCCGTCGTGTTTGCGAAGGAGGGGGAGGCAACCATGGATACGCAGTGGATTGATGTCCTGTTGCCGATGCTCCTGCCACGGTCGGACGTGTGTCTGCGCGTCGAACTCTTGGGACCTTGTCCTTGTTGCCAGTGACCAACGGGGCGAGGCCTGATGATGTGCCAGCGTCCTTCCCCCACCCACCRCCCTCGACGAAAGCACGAGTGCCTTGCTCGTTGAACGACACAGGTTCCCCTACACCTGAAACTGGCACGGTGCCTTGCGCATCAGGCTGCGTTGCCACAGATGGTCTGCCATCAACGGATGCGGGAATCGTCTGRCGAAGCGGACGAGGGGGGAGGGGAGCAAGTGGTGCACATGGAGATGGCGCCACTTGCGAGGGGGCAACGGTCGACGGGGGCGGCGGAACGACGTCATCGGGAAAACGAAGAGGTGGCCATTGAAAAGAGGGATGACCTAGAGGGAGACTCTGCAAGGCCTGCACGRCAGAAGCCAAATATGCAGGACACTTGGACATATCCTTTGACCAAATCGCGTGCCACACCGCCGGAGTGGCCACGTGGCATCTATACCCCTCGCCATTAAAAAAGTGTTCCTTCGCCTCACGAGCACCCCCACATAGAGAACGACCGCATAGCCTGCACAAACAACGGCGACCATTCTTCCTCCCGACCGTAGTGGATCCATCTAAATAACGACCACGAGCAACGAAATGCCAAACAGGATCATCTCGTTTTCCATCCGCCTTTGGATCCACCTTAAAAGGGGAGTCAAAGGTCTTCGTSTTGTGACCTTTTCTACTACCCTCCGCCCTTTTCCCCGTTGCCGAGGACTCCGCAGGGCCCTTCCCGTTATTGCCTCGAGGGTTAGACATGTTGTGGAGACCGAATGAAATCCGCAGAAGGGGTGAACTGAAACGAACTTCGACGCCAACGACAAAGAACTGCACCGAAGTTACTGAACAACCGACGAAT